ATCTTTACCCCCTCCCAGTACACCTTTACAGTTCCATTGAATAATGCGCAATCCTTTGTTACTATGAGTTAAACGATTGAATAAGATCACCAGGATGCAAATTCCCCAAATTTGGGAAATGCCTTTGAGTCTGATTGCGTATTGCGATTTCTGGTAGAGATTTGTTGTGATCCGAGGCGAATAAGTTCTGTAATGGAGATATCATTAATTGTAAGTTATTGTATCTGCTTGATGATCCATGAAATAGTTTCTTGCAAGTACGTGTGATCATGTTGAGGGTTCTGGACGGACGTGTGTGAAATTGGATGGCAGGAGGCGGTGTTCTGCTATTGGGAGAAATCAGCAGCGCTGCGTGCTCCTGTGGGTATGTAAACGAGCCTTGAAGGTTAGGCTGGGCACGGGGGGTACGGTAAGATGGTGATCCTCCATACAGAAAACGTTTAGTATTGTGTGAAATAGGAATGTTGTTATTGGGAGCGGACTGTTTTGGTGTAAGTAGATCTTGTGATCCCAGCCGAGGCGAATCGGTCGTGACCGACGCATAACTAGGTTTTGAATTATTAGGTTTCTGCATTAAGAGGGGAGGTGTAAATAAATGAGGCGTAGGTGTTAATGTAGGATTCCCCTCCTGACGATTATTGTGATATAAGGGAGGGAAGGTTCGAAAATCGTACCTGGTATCAAAAAAGTTATCCCGAGCATTCCCCAAGGAGTTGAGTTTTCTCTTTGCTTCCGCCATAGAGATGTTGTTTGTGGCTGAAAATGCCTGAACCTTTTTGTGTTCCACCACCAAAGGGCACCCATGTGAGGTGGGAAGATGATCGCCCCCGCAACTGATACAGGTGGGCGTACCCTGGCTTCTTGGGCACACAAAGCTTTTATCTGTGTGTTTCTCCTCTCCGCAGGAAATGCACCTCGCCTTGCTCTTGCATGCACCGCTTATGTGCCCTATGCGGTAGCACGAATAACAGATTTTAGTCTTCGGTATATACGGGTAGACTGTGTATCTAATGTTGAAGATGTAGACATGATTCGGTAAGGATTGTCCTGCGAACTTCACCGAGAATGTACGAGACGGCTCGTAGATATGTATATCCCTCGTCGGATTTGACTCTACGGTTTAGTCTGTTAATCTCCCTTATCCTACAGCTTGACTTCGTGTTTTGCAGAATGGTTTGTATATCGAAATCTTGAGGAATGCCTTTGATTGTTCTTGTTCTCAACAAACGGAATGTAGAAATATGTGCATGTAAACCTTTGTTGCTAAGCTCCTGATTCTCAATTAAATTGTTTGCATCCGTTAAGGAGCTCATGCTGACTGAATTTTGTCCCCTTCCTATTTTGGATACTTCGCCTGTGCCTCTGGGAAATATATTAGTGATGATCCTACTTATATGTAGAGGATGCATGGATGTAGTGTTGGAATCTTTGATGTGAATTATATATGGAGGTTGATCCATCCTCGAGTACTTCTCGACTACCTTGACGTTTGAGGTTATAGAATTCGTGGCTTGCTTACCGGTTGCCTTGGTGCGCGCATCTAAAACTGTCAGAGATGGCTGCGCTGCTGACGACAAGGGCGCTTCCGCGACGTCCGCGCCACTCAAACTGCACGCCGCATCCGCTTGTTGTGCTGCGGCACTATCTGGGATAAAGTCACTAGATATATAAAGTACCGCAATCCATAAGACCAATGCTTTAGCGGATTGGAGTCAAAATGTCGTCGGAAAGTGTATATAGTGCACACTTTATGTCACTTATCTACACAATAAGTGTAGATCTCGTAATCCTATTGTATTGTACATAACCGTCAAACTGTTTGTGCGTAATAAAAGGCTACAGTTAAAATACTATTCAGCAATAAATGAAATGCCAGGTTGTTGTGTCGAAGGGTGTACAAACCGTACCGAAAAAGGATTTCGGACATTTCGCTTGCCAATAGGCAATAATAACATTAAAAGACGCGAAGAATGGTTGAGTTTGATTGGGAAGAACACATTGCCGGGACGAGCTGAAATTTGTGAGGTACAATCAAGTAGTTATAATCGCGTGTGAAACAGTTTGCAGTAATATTGCAGTAATATTCATCACATGGATTTTGCAGGTGCACTTTGGTGAGGACCAATTTGAAAAACAGCGACAGGATAAAAAAGCTGCCCCTTCCTTTTGCTAAACCAAATCTATTACAGAAACTCTTAGCAGAAAATGAAAATATAAAAAAGAAGTCCAAAAAAGTTAAATTGTCTAGTTGTGTCGAGGATTTAGAATTTAGTAAGTATAACAAAATACGAGAACACAGATATACGAAAGTTTATCAGAATCTAAAGCCTATCTTGATTAGCTGAACTGTTTTCGTATAAGTACATATATGTTACTGTAATGTAAGTTACTTAAATTTTAACATTTATAGATAAAGATGAACGCACTACGACAACGAATACAAGTGGAAATACTTCCCACATTGATATCGAGTGCAACAATACTAATACTGACATTGAAGTAAGAAAACCTGCTGAAACAGAAGAGTTAGACGTTACAAGACCTGAAACAACCAATTCTGAAGACATTTCATCTACGTGTACTCTACATGATAAAAATATATTAAACAGTCGAAGAAAATTGAAAGATTGAAGCGAACAGTGAAACAGATGAAACTGAAAAATCGTCTGTTGGAAAGAAAGCTTAAAGCAAAAGATGCAAGTTTTAGTAAAGTGTTCAACGAAGATCAAACATATTTTGTCACAAAAACTACAAAGAGGGGAGGCACATGGTGTTCAAATACCATAAATAAAGCTTTAAGAATGTATGTGGCCTGCGGTCGAAAAGGGTATGAGGAGTTGCGCCGGCAGAACTTGCCATACCCAAGTATCCGTACCTTACAACATCGCATTCAAGGCTTAAAATTTAAGCCAGGTACTTATGAAGAAGCATTGAATCTAATAAAAATAAAAGTTAGTATTAATAATAATAGGGGGGCTATGTTGATGGACAATTTTTTTGTTGATACTATGGTACTCATATTTATTTATAGCAAATATTTTACATTGCCTTATGGTAATAAGCAAATGGAAAATATTTGCATTTGCTTAAGTATTTGTTTATGTTTCGTAATGTAATTTCAGATACAAACGTTCCAAGAAAAACACGCTGTGCTGTTAATAGACGAAATATCTATACAACCGGGTTTGCAGTATGACAATTCTACTACTTCAGTTATAGGGCAACCTACAATGAAATTATCTGGCGGGTTTGATAGTAGCCATGAGAAGGCTTCACATAGCCTAGTATTTATGCTGTACGGAATTTCCACGAAATGGAAACAAACTATTGGCTATGAATTCACAGCGAATTCATTTTGCTCGCAAGAAATAGTGCAGAAGATTATAACAATAATTCAAAAGGCACATAATATTGGATTGATAATAAAAGTAATAATATCCGACATGGGACCGCTAAATAGGAGTTGGTGGAAGCTATTGAATATTACAGCTAGTAAATTTAGCAAAATTAGTAATTCTATTCAACATCCATGCAACGACCAAGATAGATTGTTTGTTATGGCAGATACTGTTCACGTATTTAATAATGTTGTGTGTTCTCTAAGATCAGGAAAAAATTTTTATTTAGACGAAATAATAGTGAAAAAGTTTAACTTGTCATATAACGAAATTTCTATTGTTCCTATTCGTGAAGTGTTTTATTTAGACCAAAAGGAGACGTTGAAACTGCGTCCACGTCTTACAGAACACTACCTAAATCCATCGCACTTCGAAAAAATGAATGTATGCTTTAAGTGTTGCAATGTTGAATAATAATGTCGCTGCAGCAATATTATATCATATAAGTCACGGTTGCATTGCTGATGTACATAAAACTACTGGCTGGTTCCTAACAGTAATATACAAATGATTCAAAATTATGACAAGTCGTTATGAGAAACTTGCACTATCTCATTATAATAAAACTGTATACAATGATCATATAATGTTTCTAAGAGATTTTATGGACATTGTGAGAGGAATCACAGTTGAGGGTGGTAAATGGCAACCATTTCAGAGTGGTTTATTATTGTGCACACAAACTGTTCTGGATGCACAAGTAGAATATTTAGAGAAATATAAATTTAACTACGAGGGCGGTTCAAATATGATCGAGACAAACGCTGTAGATGGCGCGCCAGTATGTTTTGAAGGTCGCGGCTTGAGTATGTGATAGCTGGGTCCCTTACGAACAGTGTGGCATAGTTTTCGTCGCGAACGCACGTTTCACGCGCGTGATACGACCATGAGTGAACGTCAAGTGCCGACCGCTGTTGCGCAACGTATTGTCATTCGTTTTTTGGTGTGGGAAGGCGTTAAAAACACGGAAATTCTTTGGCGTTTGCGAAATCAGTTCGGTAGTGAGTGCCTGAGTAAGTCTGCTGTGTTTAAATGGGCCAAAGCGTTCAAAGATGTCCGCGAAACCGTCAAGAATGAGCCGCATGATCGTCGACCGCGAACCAGCATCACACCAGTCAACATTCGCCGCGTAGAACAACTCATTTTGGAGGATCGTAGGATGAATGTTCGAAACATTTCGGCTGAACTTGGCATTAGTATTGTTAGTGTAGAGTCTATAAATAAAACTACAAAAGGTGTGATATCACGTAAAAAACTTACCTTTTTAAAAAAAAGGTAAAAAAA